AGAATCCCAGGTATTGCAACAGATGGGACCCGGAGGGAAACCAATCCTCCAAAGCACCCTGTCCTTGCCACTGCCCAAAGGGAGAAGGCGTGGGTGGCCAGGAGTGGAGCTGCTGGGTAGAAGCAGCTTGCTGGGAGCAGTGGTGAGCCTTCCCAGCCCAAGGATGCTGGCCCTGGACCTGGCCAGGGAGCCTGGAAAGGAAGACCCTGGCCTGAAATTATGCATGTCCAGGTTGAAACCTGAGAGCCCTCAACTGGTGCGTCTCAGCAGCCCCCTGTCTTCTCATTGAGCTTCTCCAAAACTTCACAGAGAGGCTAAGCCTTCTGTAAGAACTGAAGGAACTGAGGTTTGCAATATTTCAACCCGAAAATGGTTCCTTGAGAAACTGTGTGATACACAAGGGCCAGGCAAGGTGAGAAGAGGTTCACCTTGAACTTGAGAAGCGCCTGAAGTCTGTGTCATTTGTTAAGTGTCTCACCCTCGGGCATTTAATGCATTGCTAGTAAGAAAGGGGATGGTTTGAACTTGGCACAACCATTACTTTAGGAGGCATGTTACATGCCACAAGATGGATGCGCTTGTCTGATTCGGACAGGACAGCAGCATGTTTTACACCCAGGCTGCCGAGCAATCTGTTCTGACGGATCCATTTTGCTGCCATCATGCAACCTCATTTGTCCATCTTGTCTGTCATTCCACAAAAGGCTTTGTTTTTTAAAATAAAAAAGAGAGAATAAACCCATCTATTGGAGACACACAGCCATAGCAACAGTGGAGCCAGTGCTTTTGAATCACTGGGTGGAATTCAGCCATTGATCCTCTCTTTTTTACACTGAAACCCTTCATGTTTTTTGAGGCTCTAGGTGATGTTTTCTTCCTTATCCCCCAAACAGCGAAGGTCAGAAATGTTGCGACTATTGGGGTTCACTTGGCAGGATTAACAGTCCCAGGTGTGGGAGGGGTTTTGTGTGGCTGTCAGTGTTCACTGGTTTATTCTCATCAGTAAGGAAATCATAGATCTCATTTTGAACACAGCATACTTCCCAGGTCTCCTCTCCTCCTAGCTTCCAGGCAGGCCCCGTGTGAGGGAATTCTTTCCACCCAACTGACTCTCCACTTCCCTCACAGCAGTTGGATTGATCTTTTGTTTTAAGAAATTCCTGTCAGCCCACTTAACAAAGATGATGAAACACACCTTCCCTTGTCTGAATGAGTAGGTCAAACTGCAACGTGTTTTGGAAATAAAATTACAAAAAGCGGATATGTATATGGTAATAAGTCTCTTGGAGGGCTTCTCAGACTTTCCAGCTATGAATGCTAGCATCAAGCCGAGACCTTGGAACGCTCTCCTGTGTGGTTTTGTCTCCAAGCCTGTAAAATACATCTACAAGAAAAAGCTGTATTGTCTTTGGTCTCTGAAGTGTTGTCATCTCCCTCAATTCATTATTTAATAAGGAGCAATACAGATAGAATGTGTGACCATAAATGTTTAGGTCACGCAAAATACTAATGTCTGTCCCCCATGCCAAGTGGCGGGGCCACTTTGCTTGTAAAGGGCACTGAAGGCTTATTGTCGGGTTTTAAAAAATCTTTTGGTTTTTTTTAAATAAATATTAGAGAGCATATTTCTTCCTTCCTCACTGTCTGTATCAGAAATGTCAAACATGCAGCCCAGGGGCTGGAACTGGCCTGTCCAGGGTTCTTATCTGGCCCACGAGCAACTGAGGGAAGCCAGTCTGAATGTGGACCAGAAGGGCCTATATTAGGGTATTATACCCCCTGCTGAGGTCCCTCCCTTCCCTAAACACAGGCCCTTCCCAAGGTCATCCCCCAGATCTCCAGGGATTGACCAGCCCGGGGCTGGCAACCATAAGTAGTGAGGAAGGCTGGTTTGGCCCTGAGCTTTCCGCAGCCAGTCCCTTGGGGCCTGCTTGCTGCCCTTGACTGAGGCACCAGGCCGGGGTACACTGCCTGCCTCCTCCTCCCCAGCCAGAGTGCATTGGGTTCCTGCCTGTGCCACCTGAGCTGCTGGAAGGATGGCTGGCTGTTCATGTGCAGCAGGCAGAATCTCTTTGGCCCCACCTCCCCAAGCCCAGCTAAGCGGCTTCCTACTTGCAGGCAGCCTGGGGGAGGTGCCCACGGACACAGGCACCTGTGGAAAGTAGCTGGCCAGCTTGCCAAATGTGCCCACTTATGTAAGCATGTGAATGGAGCAACTGGCTGGGCTGGGCGCACTGTGCACAGCACCCCAGGAGAGAGAAAAGCCCAGAGCTTATGTAAGGAGCACAGCGCATGCAGAATGCCAAGGGCTGGAGGCAGAGGAGGCCCACCGAGTTGGGTGAGCCAGAGCCTGCTAACCCACTGGCTCAAATGTGTGCAGATTCTCTTCTACCTCCCTCTCTTGGAAGTGCAGGGAGGATTAAATAAGAGGCAAAGCCAAAACACATGCATATTCCCTGGGCTCTCTGCATGCAAGCGCTGCCATATGTAACAGTCTGAATGGAAGCGGGGGTGGGGGGTAAGGCGAAGGTCAAGGATGGGAGCAGGGATTCAAAAAAGGGTGGTGCTAGGGGAACAGCTTGCTTCCTTTCTCCAGGGTCAGGGACAAAGGGTGGTGCTAGGGGAACAGCAGTCCAGGAGATTCCCGCTTGAGTGTAGAGTGCCTCAGGGGGTGCTGCTTTCCCAATGTTATTTAACATCTACGTGCGCCCCTTGCCCAGATTGCTCGGAGGTATGGGCTGGGCTGTCACCAGTACCCTGATGACACCCAGCTCTATCTGATGTTGGGCAGCCAGTCGGACTCCAGACTGGAAGATCTGGACCGGGCATTGCAAGCCGTGGCTGGTTGGCTCAGACTGAGTAGGCTGAAGCTAAATCCGGCAAAGTTCTACTAGCCCTCAGCCATAATTTCTTACAATTTTCATTTTTAATCCCACCCTGCCGTTCCTTCTCTCCCCTCCCCCACCTTTTGCCTCACCTTGTGAGTAGAGTGCTGCTGAGAGATTAGCAACTAGTCCAAGGTCACCCAGTGAGCTGATCTGTGTGGGGAGTGGGGACTTGAACCCCGATCTTCCCCTCTCCTAGTTTGGCACTCCATCAGTCATCACTAAAGAAAGGCGTTTAGCTATTAGCTGTACAAAAGCCGAAACAGAAGATAATTTCTGCACCTTGTTGTGGCCATTAGGGTGATTTGGGGCCTAGGAAAGATGCCCAGCACTTGCAGCTGCTTTCAGGGACATCATGCTAAATCAGAAAACTACAAAGCCTTGCCCACTTGCTAACAGTGATTCTTCCATTATTCAGTCCTTTTTTTCCAAACGTTATACCTGTTAATGGTAGGCAAACAACTGGGACGTTATTCTTGCAATTTGAATGCCATTAGCAGGGTTGCACAAGGAAGCCTCAGACCATATTTGTTTTCATTGTTTGACCATCAAAAAACAGAGCTTGATGTAGACATGTTTTACAGTGACAGGCACACAAATAGGCTTGCCAAGTCCCCCCCGGGGGGTGGGGAAAGCCCCGCCCGAGAGGCCCGTTACCCACCGCCGGCGGATCGGGCCCTGGGGGGAACCCCACCCCCAAAGCACGCGATGTGTCCGGCGTCAGCACGTCACCCGGAGGTGACGCAATTGCGTCGGGCACGTGGGGCCACGGTCATCCGAGGGAAAACTCTATGGTTTCCCTCTGATGATTGTGGCCCCGCCCCCGGCATGCCCGACGTGGTTGCGTCACTTCTGGGTGACGTAATTGCGGTGCGCGCGCACGGACTCCCAGAGCAGCGCTGGAGTCCCCCGCTCTACACACAGTAAGGACTTGGCAACCCTACATGCAAAGAAGATGTCAGCTAGCCCCTTGTGCCCTGGGTGGCTAATCACTCTGCTCCTCTCGCCTTCTGCTTGCAGAGACTGTTAGAGGCAGCGGGTGGAGTGTTACAGTTATATTTGGGGAGAACTAGATTCAAATGTTTCCTCTGCAGTGCACTCGCTGGATGAGATTTAGCCAGTCAGGGCCAAAAAAACACATTACACTGGGAATCTTTCATCACACTGGCTTTTAATTAAGGGGTTGATCCCTGGTTTTTATGGTCATCTCTAGCCTGAGGACCATCTTCTGTGTTTAATGGCTTGTTTTTCTGCTTGGCCTTATATTTAATGGCCTTTTTTAAAAAGGCCCTGGATTGTTTTTAATGGGAGTGTGGTTTTATTGTACTGTTCTGGATGAGGCACCTCAAAAGCAGGTCTCTAGAGAGGCAGCATATACGTTTTCTAAATAAATGATTCCTTAACTAGAGGGTTAACTGTAAAAAGCAGCCACAGGGTGCCCCCGTTTAGATTGGAATCGCAGTCCTCGGGGAGGGTTTGTGTGTTGAGGCCCCGACTCCTTCCTGTCTACTGAATCCTCCTCCCTGTGGTTGCTGTTAACCCTGGTAAAGCGAAAGGGCAAACAAAGCTGGTCTCCACCCCCATTGGGGCGAAAGCATCTACCGCTTGTGCTTTTATTGGGGTAATATGTGGAGAGAAAGCCCTGCTTCTGCAACTTTGGGGGTTTGGGGCGGGGGGACTCCTTCAAATCACAGGGCCCTGGAGCTGCTTTCTGAGATCGAACTTCACTTGTTATAAATCCTTCTGTCTTTCATGAATGCTGTAAAATAAATAAAAATAAATAAATGTCTGAGGCTGCTCCATAGCGGGGTGGGGGGACGACAACGACCGAGGAGCTGTATTTAGAAGAATGCAGGCATCTTGAGCCCCCCTTTACATGCATTGTAGCGCAAAGTCTTCAGTGCACCGCACACTTGGCTGTTTCTGGTAGAAATCAGAGAGAGATCATTATTCCCGAGGAGGAAAAGAGTATCTCTCTATTGTACTGCCGTATTTATGTGTATATATCTACCATTTTTCTTCTCATACATTCAGATAAGTACATCAGGCGAAACACAGTATGTTACTAGGGTTTTTTTCTCCCGTCAGTGTTTGGTCTCTTGTAATTTTTAACAGGCATTTAATAAACTCTGTGAAGATGGGGCGAGGGTATTTCCACATGCTTCATGGAGAAACACTGGAGAGGAAAAACATGCTTATGTTGGAACAGCAGAGAGAAGAGCAGAGGCGGAAAACTGAATTCCAGCCCCCCAAATATCCATCATCATCTGACGAGGACACATCTGATGAAGATATCACTGAGTAAGTGGTCTTCAGGACTCCTCATATGGCATTTGTTTATTGACATTTTCTTTTCCAAATGCAATGTACAGCTCGTATCTTTAGGGTTGACTGAGGTTGGGTACATTTTTCAGCCTGAAAACCACATGGGGGTCTCTGCCCAGTTTTGAGGGCTCCATCTTGGATGCCAGTTCTAAAAAGAAAAGCAGCTGTCGAACTGTTGTTTGGTGATCCCTGGCCCGAAAGATATCTGGCTGTCCTCAACCAGAGCCAGGGCCTTTTTGGCCCTGGCACCAGCCTGGTGAAACTGTCTGCCCTGTGGGATGTAATGCAGTTCCGCAGGGTCTGTAAGACAAAGATGTTCCACCAGTCCTATGGTTGAGGACGGACAGCAATGGTCGGTTTCCATCGAGCCTGACCTCCTCTCTTTCCCTCCTCTTCCCACACAGGGTAAGGACACAAATTGGCCCTAAACGCCATCTGAAAATTAGTTATTGTAATTAATTATTGCATCTATTACTGTTTTAACTCTTTTTATTGACATGTTGTTCACCTCCCTGAGCCCATTGCACAGGGGAGGGCGGTCTAGAAGTCCAAATAATAAATAGATAAACTTGGAGCCCTCAAAAATAGGTGGAGACCTAGCTGTAGCTGTCTTTCCCACTCTGCTGCTGTAGATGATTCGTAGCCACCCTCGCCTTCAAGTTGTGTAATAATTTCTCGGGAGCTAATGCTAGAGCCTGGTGGACTGATGCTCCTGACAAATTGTTAAGCAACTTGAGGACCCGATGAAAGGCTCCCACAGGCTGGATTTGTCCCTAGGCTGTAATTTATCCAGCTCAGAACACAGAAGCTGGCAGCAATCAGTAGGGGAGTTATCACCTGTGGGCCAGGATCATGCAAAGACCATCAGTCCTCCAGTTTGTCAGATAGCTTAACCAGTTTTCTGCCAAATTCACTTCTTTTGCACAAGAGAAATGGCAGTGCAGTGTACCCGAACATAATAGGCATGTCCAGACCAGACAGCAGCTTACCCTCCCAAAACAAAACTACAGTACTCAGGCTCCTGCCTCCCACGCACTACTACACTGTTCCTCCAACTCCGTCCAAAGGGGTGGGGTGTCGTCCAGCAACTAGTAGCCACCCGTTGTCAACAGCTATTAATGCCCACATAAGAAAGCATCTTCCGGTCATCACTGTACATTAAAGAAACATCCTTAACTATTAACTATCGGAAAACCTAAGCGAAGGTCAAAGGCATTCATGCTCCCCTCTCAGTGGATGCCGTCTGTACTTACGTTAGCTCAAACTGGTTGAGAAGGTCCCGTGCTCCTCTTTGTTTCTGTAGGTCAAGATACCCTTGAGAACGGAGAGTGCACAGAGGCAGATGGAAAAGTTCAATCAATAACGCCAGAAAAGAACATTCTGCACTTTCATCTTCTAACAGTTGTCTTTCTCTCCCCCCACCCCCCAGCTTCTTTTTAACAGAATGTCCCCTTGTGAGGGAGTCGGAGAAGAAGAAGAAGAAAATTATCCGACCTTTCACTCCTGTCCATAACGGTCTGACAGCTTCAAAGCACCCGGAAGCGCATTTGTATGTTCTAAGACACATCTCCTGTGTACAAGAGGGAAACGAGACCTGAGGGGTTAATGCCTCCGTCTCTGCTTCATGGTTTTAATGCGTGAAAGGGCTAACAATTTTAAAATGTCGAGAGGCCAAAGTTTGGCTTCAAGCAAGCCAAAAGTAGGACTTCTGCTTGCTGAAGTTGGTCCTTTTATGTTACATACATTTGGATGGTCATGCATCTTTGGCAGCACATATGCTAATTGCAGCAGCATCTCCCAGGATATGGCTGTGAAATTCATTTTTTTTTTACACAGATGCTGGCCTGAATCAAAGCTCTTCAGAACTCCAAAGCACTCGGGGAGTTCTGTGCAAGCAGAAACTGCCCTGTTTTCAAATTTGGGGGGAAGCTTCTTATGCACAGCCCTACTGTGGGTGAGGGGGGGGGCTGCCCAAGCAGACTTGTGTGTGCGTGTGTCACCAGGGCTTCTGGTGGCACTAGCCTGAGCTATGTGTCCATTTCTCAAACTTGTTATTTCAGCTGTTGTTAAGGATCCAATGGGAACATTCACGAGGAAGTAACTTGAGGGTTTTAAATGTAAGATGTTTCTTCATGGAAACTTCTTGTACTCTCAGTATTCTGCTTTAGTGCTAAACCAGTGGTGCAGAAAGCAGGAAGTGGAAAATACTGTTGTCACTGTTACACCATGAGTGTGCGTGGCACTGTGCTGAGTAACAAGAAGACAGCTCCCTGCCCTAAGGAGCTTACAGTCTAGTGTTTGACACAGGAGGGTGTCGGTGAGGGTAAAACAGCATGTGTTCAGTAGTCTTACACAGACTTAGATGACAAAGGTGAGGGCAAAGAGATTGTGCTAAAGATTTCACTGGAAAGGTCGGCTCTGGGGAAAAATTTGAAAGGAGGAAGGGGTGGAACCAAAAATATATATCCAAATGGGGGGGAAAAACCCTCAGCTCAATCCTCTGGCCATCTGCTTAGCTCTTCCTTTCTTCTCCTCCAGGCAGTATTAGTTATATGAATGTCTGCCCTTGGAAATTCCCTGCTAACACCCTGGTATTCTTGACCCACACTGTGTCCTCTCTGTATGTCATTTAGTCCTAGGAAGCCTCTGTACAATGGTCATACTTTCCTAACCATTGCAGAAATACAGAGATCTGTGCTAGATGTGCCCAAGGGCTTGCAGATACAGAAAGGGGACTGTTGACTTTT